GGGGCGCAGCCCTGCCACCTCTGGCCTTGGCATTTAGGAAATGCTTGTGTGAACCCGGCATCTCTTCCTGCTCCCCCTCCTTTGGGAAACCCCCTGCTGCCCGGGGGCCAGTCCCTTCACCCCCCCACTCACCGGGAGAGGGGGGAGGCTCTGAGGTGCTACTCTGGTGCCTACTGATGTCTCCACACCCCAGCCTCTGACAGTGCCCCCTAACCTGACTGCTCGGTGGGGCTCCACTACCCCCAGCTTTGGGCTCCGCCCCCCACCCAGCATCATCCCTGTCAGGGGCTACTGTGACCCCCCCATGTCCCCAGATTAGTAGCCAGTTCTGGAAGTTGCCAGGCCTCGTCGGTCAGCTTTGGATCTTGGTGTGGGTCCCATTAAGCCGTGGGTCAGATTAGCGGCTCCGGTTCTGATCCATCTCTGGGGGCTGGGGCGCCCTCCCCGCCACCTGGCAGCCCCACTCCCCACCAGAACAGTATCAGCTCCAAGAGCCAGCCCCCCGCTGCCCCCCTCCCCCGGAGCGGCTCTTGTCCTGAGCGCTGAAACCCGACCCTCGCCCTCCAGACGCACTTGCCAGCCGGAGACAGCTCCGATCGATATTCCCCCGACCCTCTGCCTGGACAAGGCGTCCGGGCCAGGCGAGGAGGGGGAACGGCGCACGCCAGCTGCAACGCAGCCTCTAGCCTCCCTGGGCTGCAGAGTCTGGGGCGGGGCGGTTTGCCCAGCTATTACACACCCCCTCCAGCACCCCCACTCCTCACTCATGGGGTGCCAGAGGCCGTCAGCTTGTCAGGGCTCAGGGCCTGTGGCACGTCAGGCAGAGACGCCACATGCTCCAGCCTTCCTGGGTTCCATCGGATCGGGCTGCCGGAGGGAGGGCCCAGCAGGCCCCCCCAAACCAGGAACTCTGGGAACCAGCCTCCAAACCAAGCAGGGTTAACCGCAAGCTGAATGCTTGGGCAGCCACCCAGGAGAGATTCGGGGGCCGCCCAGCTGCTTAGCAAAGCGCCCACAGCATGTGTTTCTATTGGTGGTGCACATCGGCGCAGGCCTCAGTGCACAGAACAAAATTTATTCTGCACACCGCTGGGAAAAAATCGAGGGGACACGGAAACCAAGCCCAGTTCTATGGCTGTCAGAGGACGCCCTGCGGCCTAAGCAAAGGACTGGGGGTCAGGATCCCCGGGGGCCTCTGACACAGGCTTGTCAACCTTTTCTGAAGTGGCCCCTCATTCTGCTGGTCTTGACTTTTGGAGGGCCGGAAGCCACTTGGTGAAACCCCAAAGCACCCAAAATCAGGGGTCTCCTTTCTTCCGCGCCTCGATTTCCCCATCTGTAAAAGGGAGACGATGCCACGGCCCTATGGCGGGGGCCTGGGAGGGTGCGTTCTGGTCCCCCTGCCCACGAGGGCTCCGGACGGGCTGGCCCCTGTCTGACAACCTGGAAGGGACTCCCCTGGCCCTGAAGCATGAAGCTCAGGAGGTTCATTTACCTGCCTGTCCCAGCCCCTCCTGCTGTGGCTGCAGCTAAGCGCTGAGTCCTGCCCTCCAGCGGGCCGGGGGGGAGGGGGGGGGAGAATGGGTTTGTTGTTCAGCGGCCTCCCTTAGCCCGGCAGAGTCAAACAGACTCTGCTCCGTCTGGCTTCAATGGGCAGCAGGAGCTCGAAGCATGAAGCTCAGGAGGTTCATTTACCTGCCTGTCCCAGCCCCTCCTGCTGTGGCTGCAGCTAAGCGCTGAGTCCTGCCCTCCAGCGGGCCGGGGGGGAGGGGGGGGGAGAATGGGTTTGTTGTTCAGCGGCCTCCCTTAGCCCGGCAGAGTCAAACAGACTCTGCTCCGTCTGGCTTCAATGGGCAGCAGGAGCTCGTCTCCCCGGCGGGGGGGGGCTAGGGCAGTGGCCTGGCTGCAGTCAGCGCTACCGAGCAAAGAAGCCAGCGCCGCAGGGTGGGGTACTGGGGCGGGGCAAGGGGAGGGTTTGCAGTCGCCTCTTGTAGTTTTCTTGCTTCATCCGAAAATCCCCTTTCGGGCAGCAGAGGGGAGAGAGCAAAAACCCCTCACGCTCCGAAGGGGGAGGGTCTGCAACCAGCGTCTTGCCACTGCGGCTTTCGTCCTGATGGGTCGCTGAGATGCGGCCACCTCTGGGGTGGAGGGTGACATGCACCTCGCTGCACAGCGGCGATAGCTGGGACCACGCGGCTTTAGGCGCCGGTATAAGGAGACTCTTCCACACCCGCACGGGGGCTCATGGTTCCAGGAGGGCTCGCGCGCCGTAAGTTGACGCAGCTCATAGATGGTTTTACCCAAAAATCTACCGCCACCCCCACTGGGCTTGTAGCCTTGGTCCTTGAACAGCCCTGGGGTTGCCAACCTGAGGCTTACAACTCTCAGCCGTCGCTTCCAGACATGGAAGATGGCAGGAAGGTCCCACAAAGCCTGGCGCATCCTCTAGTCACTGGAACTCAACCTAGTGTGGTACGTTCCCCGACCTCTTTCATCAGGGCTCGTTGGTCTCACTGGGAATCTCCCCCCTTTGGGCAAAGCCTGGCGCATGCTCTAGTCACCGGAACTCAACCTAGTGTGATACGTTCCCCGACCTCTTCCATCAGGGCTCGTCGGTCTCACTGGGAATCTCCCCCCTTTGGGCCAGAAACCATGCGCAGCTGGGGCAGAAATGCAGCTCTGGTCAGGCAGCCGCACCCTGAGCCCATTCCAGATGGGCCCCCAAATCCAGCCCCACTTCTTCTCCCCTGCCCAAGGGCTGCACCCAGGCCCTCTCTGCATCTGGGATGGGGGCACTTCCTAGGGACGGGGCTGTGAGCCTTCATTCATGAGCGCCTGTAAAAGCCCAGCGAAACCCTGCATGGCTGGCGCCAGAGAGGGCAAAGGACTGTTTCATCCACCCGTGAAAGCCTCTTTCTCTCAGGGTGGCAGCCCTGCACAGCAGGGAGCATGCGGGAGCTCGATAAGGGTGTATTGTAGGGACCAGGCCGGCTGAGAGCACAGGATACATGAGCTCAGACTTTCCACAGGCACCGCGGCCGGCAAAGCCAGGGGTGGAGTCCTTGGCTCCCTGGGAATGGCATTAGCAGAGGCCTTGCTCTCCTGCCACTGGGCCGGGCTGTGAGCAGACAAGGAGAGCCCTTGGAAATCCCAGGCCACCGGCGGTGAAGGGGATCAGGGCGCAGGTGGGCGCTCACACAGATTGCAAGGGGGCACGCTGGGCTGTGGAAGCTCGGGAACCACAAATGCCCTGGCGGTAGCCTTGGGGAGGGTCAGTCTCATGGGTTTCCCAGTCTGTTGCACCACCCCCTGGATGAGCCCAAATTCTGCTGGGCCCGGGAGCAAAGCAGTGTCTGTGGAGACCCACACGGACAGAAGGGACTCGTGCCCATCGCTCTGTGCAGCCAAACCAGGCCCAGCATAACCATCAGCCAGGTCCTACGTAGCACATGAAGCCACGTTCACGGGGGTGATCCAAGGGACGCCATGTTCCACGTGTCCACTGGACATAACCCAGACAAAGTCACGGCCTGCAGATCCACTGAGGACAGTCCCGTCTCACGGATTCACTGGGGACGATCCACACCCTGCGTACCCCCCAGGGACAATCCACAGGAAGCCACATGTTCAGTGGGAATGATCCACGGGAAGCCTCTTCCCCTGGCCACAATCCATGCGAAGCAACCCCACCTGTGTCCAAGGAGAACAATCCACGGGAAGCCAAGCCCCACACATTCAGTAAGGGCGAGCCACGTGGAGCCACATCCCACAGATTCAATAAGAACAAACCACATGAAGCTACGTCCCATGTATGCACAACTCAGGCCAAGCCACGTGAAACCACGTCTCCAGTCCCCCTAAAGCCACATCCTGCATAATCAGTGGGAAAGAACCACATGAAGCTAGATCCCAGGTATCCACTGGGGAGAATCTGTGAAGGCACATCCCACATATCAACACCTATCTAATGCCAGGTATGGTGCAGAATTCTCTGCCCGGTGCGCCTCCATGGATGTTCCAGGTGAGTGCAGGGCACTGCCTTCAGGCTCACGTGTCTCAAGTGGTCCGTGCCTGGCTGAAAAACAGGATGAGCCACTGTCCTGGCGTTTGATGCTCAGTATTCTTACGGGCCAGGAGAGAAGCCGGAAGGAAGTCAAGGTAGGGATGTAAGAGTGGAGTCGATTAACCGATAAGCAAAAGTTTATAGGTTCATGCTATAGACTACCCCTCTCCCCTCCCCAGCAAGCTCAGCCCTGGCTTGCAACGGGGCTGGGACCCACCCCCACTGCGGCTCTGCATTTAAAGTGTATTAGAAGCCAGGTGGGCAGGCAGCCGGG